TCCCTTGATGTGCCCTATTGCCATGCTGTTGTATTTCTGCATGTCCCTCTCTGTGTTCAAATTATTCCCATGATCTTTCCCTTATTTGACTCCCAAAATAAAGAACCCCTTGGCCATGGCCATAAAACCCCTCTTGATCTATTTCAGCCACACCTGAAATTTAGTATCCAATTTTCATATATATTGTATATACCGTATAGGTAAATGAATTCAAATGACTCTTGTAATATAGCAAATCTGGAGATAGACTGGCTACTAATAGCCAGTCTATCTAAGCAATGCTGCATTTTGATGAGGGCACAGATGATCCCCAGCTCTTGGCTCACCTGGGAAAGTTTATGTGCTGAGGGCTTTAAGTCACCGGACAGTCTTTCTTTTTAACTGGAAATAGTGACCTCTTTGACTTTGATTTACCAAATGAATAGAAAATGTCCACCTAACTTGATAAACAAGTTGAAGAGAGTGGAGTACAGGGCTGTGGGCAGAGGTGCATATGTCTACCAAGCCAGTGCTAATATGGTATGCTGAGTCGGTGGCCTTGAGTCAGGATACTTTACCATTCAGACATGGATCAGAACAGGTCTTTCAGTCAGTGGGTAATACTGTGTAACATATAGGTGCATGATACCTGTTCAGACCTGTGATCATACTGTCTGGGAGAAGGAGATCTTCAAACACTGTCTTCCTTGTTTTGCAGCCTCTAGATATCTTGAGACTGAATGCCAGAGCTGCAAGGATAGCTGATTTAAAAGGTGTGCCACAATGAACCATGTACTCTAAGAAGATATACATTTTACTAGCGATGCATCGATACCGAAATTGGCATCTGTGCCGATTCTGAGTATTTTCAAGAGAGTCATGAAAATGCTCCCGATACCTGAATCCAATACTTTTCAGTGCGATTTGCATCAATGGCCGCAAATTGCACTGCAAAGAATAGCATGCGATTTGAACAGGAATGTGGTACAACTCCTGTCCAAATTGCTTGTGGTTTTCCCACTGCTCCTGTGTGAACCCAGGCTTGTCATAGCCCGAGTTCACACAGCAGTGCAGGAAACCTGCCTGCACAAGACCCATGCTGTCACAGCACAGATCTCTGGGGATTTGAAATCCCCGCACTTTCTCTCCGCTCCTTGCAGGGATGACAGTACAGCCTAGACAGCTTCTGATTGGTCAGCACCATGACTGTGCTGACCAATCAGATGCTGTCTAGCCAGTACTGTCATCCCTGCACTGAGAGGAGAGAAAGTGTGGGGATTTCAAATCCCCAGACCTCTTCTTGAAGGGATGACACTCGGAGAGGACACCGAAGGCTTGTGTTCCAGCCTCCCCACCCTCCCTTCACAGGGAGAATACATAGAAGGATGGACACAGCCTCCGGTGCTGATCACCATGTCTGTGCTGCTGGAAGGAGCTGGCTTCAGCAAAGGACATGATGTGGCGGCACAGCCAGACCATGCTGGCCAGGATCCTGTACCTGCACTCCAGCAACTTGCTCCTGGGTGGCTGAGACAACCCCATCTCCTCTATATACCACTCCATCTCTCTAGGGACAGGGACCCATCTTTAGACCATGCTGACTGGTAGGCCCTGTGCCTAGGATGCCAGGATGGGAGGGGGGGGATTGAGTAAAATCAGAATCCCCAGCCACAGGGAGGTTTCCTGCACCGCTCATGTGTGAACTCAGGCTATGACAATCCCGGGTTCACGCAGGAGCAGTAGGGAAACCACAAGCAATTTGAACAGGAAATGTACCGTATTCCTGTTCAAATAGCATTCCATTCTTTGAACTGCAATTTGCTTCCATACATTTTGTATTGACGCGAATCGCACCACAAAGTATTGGTACTCCGTATTGGTCAGTAGTTAACCTAAATTATTGGTACTCATGCTCCCTGATCAAAAAAGGGCATCGGTGCATCCTTACCTTTTACCATGGTCACCAATCAATGTGGAACCATGGCACACTTTCTTTGGTTCTTCCCTACCATTAAAGGGCCAGCTGGTTGTGTTTATTTTCCAGACTAAATGTTCCCAGTTCTTTCTTGGGAAAATAAATTTTTAACTTCAGTACCCAATTATTCTTTAGTTTGCCCCTACCATTATAGGGTCAGTTAGTGGTGTTTGCCCCCTCCCCAGGCTAAATGTTCCCAGTCCTTCTTTTGGTGAAGAAATGATAACTTGATTACCTAATCATTATTTAGTCTGTCCCTACTATTAACTAGTTGCCGACCGCAGATAGCCGAATGACGGCTAAACTGCGGCCGGCCAGTTCTGAGTGGACGTCATATGACGTCCCCCCAGAACGCGCTCTCCTGCGCGCCCCAGGGGGCGCGCACCTGGCGATCTCCGTGATTGCTGTGTCCTACGGACACAGCTGATCACGTGATGTGGTAAAAGGCCGATCACAGCGGCCTTTTACCACGTGATCAGCGGTGTCCAATGACACGCTGATCAGAGGGAAATGCAAGTGCCGGTTCTCGGCTGCACTTTCCTCACACTGTCAGATCGTGAGGAAAGTACTGCCGAGAACCGGCAGTTGTCAGAGCGGGGATCGGCACCGATCATCAGGGCACTGATGATCAGTGCCCTGATGATCGGTGCCCAGCAGTGCCACCCGCAAGTTCCACCCACCTGTGCCCAGCAGTGCGCCCACTAGCTCCGCCCACCTGTGCCCAGCAGATCACCCACCTGTGCCCAGCAGTGCACCCACCTGTTCCACTCTGCAGTGTCACACACCTGTGCTCAGAAGTGCCACCTACCTGTGCCCAGCAGTGCCACCCACCTGTGCCCACCCACCTGTGCCCACCAGTGCCACCCACCTGTGCCCACCCACCAGTGCTGCCCACCAGTGCCACCCACCAGTGCAGCCCAGCAGTGCTGCCAGTCAGTGCCACCAGTCAGTGCCCAGGGGTTGTGCCAGTCAGTGCCGCCAGTCAGTGCCCAGCAGTGATGCCAGTCAGTGCCGTCTATCAGTACCCATCATCAGTGTCACCTATCAGTGCCGCTTATCAGTGCTGCATATTAGTGCCGCCTATCCGTGACACCTCATTAGTGCTGTCTATCAGTGCCGCCTATCCGTGCCACCTCATTAGTACTGCCTATCAGTGCCCTTTAGTGCTGCCTATCAGTGCCCATCAGTGCCGCCTATCAGTGCCCATCAGTGATGCCTCATCAACGTACATCAGTGAAGGAGAAAAAATACCTGTTTGAAAAATTTTATAATAGAAACAAAGAAACTTTTTTTTTTTTCAAATTTTTTGCACTTTATTTATAGCGCAAAAAGTAAAGTGCCCAGCAGCACTTTATACCACCAAAAGAAAGCTCTATTTGTGAGAAAAAAATGATCAAAATTTCATATGGGTACATTGTTGCATGACCGCGCAATTGTCAATCAAAGTGCGGCAGCGCTGAAAGCTGAAAATTGGCCTGGTAAATAAGGGGGTATAAGTGCCTGGTAGGCAAGTGGTTAAAGAGCTGCATTGCTGAGTTTGCCCCCCAGCCAAATGATTCCAGTCCCTCCTTGGGTGAAGAAATGTTAACTTGATTACCCAATCATTATTTAGTTCGTCCCAACCATTCAAGAGCTTGATTTTACCACCCCCTGGCCAAAAGTCCCAGTCTTTCCTTGGAGAAAAAGTCTTGCCTGTTTACCCAATCATTCTTTAGTTAGTCCCTACCAGGGGTCAGTAGGGGACTAACATGCCCCATGACATGCGCCTGGTACCTTTTTCATAGGCTTTTTTGAGTTTGGGCAAGGACACAGGGGCCCCATGATCCCATATTGCCCGGGGGCCCCATGAGTTGTCAGTCCGCCCCTGGTCCCTACCATTAAAATGCCAGTTGGTTTGTGTTTGCCCCCCAGGCCAAACGTTCCCAGTCCTTCCTGGATGAAGAAGTGTTAACTTGATTACCCAATCACTCTGTAGTCAGTACCTGCTATTAAAGGGCCAGTTGGTTTTGTTTGCCCCCCCCCCCCCCCCAGGCAAAACGTTTCCAGTCCTTCCATGGGTGAAGAAATTTTAACTTGATTACCCAATCATTCCATTCCATTCCAATCATTAAAGAGATTGTATTTACTCCTCAGGCCAAATGTTCCCAGTCCTTTCTTGGACAAAGAAGTGTTATTCTGATTACCTAATCTTTCCTTAGTCAGTCCCTGCCATTAAAGTGTTACTAAACCCACAACAGTAAAATCAGTCTGCCTATGCAGTAAAGCATGCTTGTTATACTCCCTGTGGAACCTAAGGGGTTAAACCTTTGCATTGTGCAAAACCGCTGTTTGATCCTGTCTTGTCTGATCCTTTCCCTCTTCCAGTGTCCCTCTCTTATCTCCTGATAAGATATATCGTGTGGAGTCACTCTGCACATGCTCAGTTTGGTGTGTATTGCTAGAGGGTTTCTTTTTTCTTGGGGCAGTGCATGTGATCAACACAAGGCCAATCAGCACTGTCCAGACAGAAGTCAGAGGTTCTTCATCCTTCTAGAACAAAATGAAAACTCCTCCTACAAGCTTTAACCAGTGCTCGGCCAGAAACTGATAGAAGTTACAAGACTACTTTACTGCTGATGAGATGAGAAAAGGTATTTAGCAGTTTATATTTACTAAAATAATTGCACTTGCATGTTCTGTGGACTGTAGGAGACCAGATATAGTGAATGCAGGGTCGGGGTTTTGTAACACTTTAAAAAGGCCAGTTGGTTGTGTTTACCCCCCAGGCCAAACGTTCCAAGTCCTTGCTTGGACAAAGAAGTGTTAATTTAATTACCCATTCGTGTGCAAGAGAAATTGGATAAAACATAGTTTCTTCTTATTCTCTAACCTAAGTGAATGTTCACTTTGTCTTTTCTTGGTTAAATACAATCTACACCATGATGGCCATACAGAATGATTTGCTTGCAAAAGTTTATTGGATAAGTATGCAAAAGTGAACCAAAAGCATATGTAAAAGAAGCAAAATCAATATGGACTGATGATCAAGCTATTCTGTTTTGTTTTTTCAATATTTGTGTACGCTTTCTGACTTTGTTGATGACACCTTTTGTCCATCCACGAAATCTTCATAGATGGTCATAACTTTTCTGGTTTTGCTTGAATCTAAATAAAGAAAAAATGGCAGTCAGATATAAAACCAACCAACCAAACAAACAAAAAAAAAATGAGTTGAATGCTAAAAACAGTGGTCAAAAAGCATGTTGTCTATGTACCAGTTGATGACCAGAATACCTGAGCTAGAAGAAGAAAAACTGCTATTATGGAAGATTTCAGTTCATTCACTGTGGCCTTCTAAAAGTATGAAGCCGAGGGTGTCAATCCAAATGGTGAAGAGAGTGAATGTCCCAAAAATTGTTTGGTTAGCCTTTAACGTTTACATGGTTGGCCACTAGGAATATTCATCCAAATCAAATGGACCTCATTTAGTGCCATTGCCATTTGTAAGCCTATCTTGTTAGGGAAGTTTCAATTTTCAGACGACTAAAGAGTTGATTCTTGAAGTATTTTGAAAGCCAAAAAAATTGCACACCAAACTGTGGCAAAACTAGTACAGAAGATTCATGCTGAGACATAAAAATATCCTAGATCATATAAATTAAAAGCCCCTCTCACATTGCACATGTAGGGCAAAGTGACAGTATTTCTGAAAACAGAATCCCTCAACCCCTTACTGAAACATTACTTGCGCTCCTTTGGTGAGAATAACTGCTACTACTTTTGGGTATGGGGGGGGGGGGGCATGTGACCTGTCCCCAGTGACAGTTCCCAGGCCTAGAAGCCAATCTCAATGCTCAAGCACTGCCACATGACTGGAGGAGTGCTCCCCTGGGTTGCAGACACAGCTGAAGAGCCTGCAAAGGAATGCAGGTGAAATGAGTATAAGGGGGTCAAAAATTCTCATTGCAGAGGCACTGTTACCTTGCTCTGTTTGGGCAAAGTGGCAGTGTTTCTTTAAAGTATTTTTACACATTTGCAACCAACTTTCTAGTTGTTTCTTTGGATAAGATTCCTACATAGGATTCTGTATGAAGCTTAAATTAGGCAATTAGGGGACATATGTATCACCCAAGCCTTGAGATCTTTAATCCTTTGTTTTGACTTGTTTAAATTTATGGTAGATAAATGGGAACATGTAATAAATATAATGTAGGTGTTATCCCAATTTGGCTGCTAAAGAGGAAACACACTTTTAGGTAATATACTTGTACTACTACATAATTATATGTTTAGTCCTTTTTTAAAATACATGGAGTAAAGTAGGCACTGTAGGGGTGGTCCTACCATGGGTTGGACTATGTATTTTATCTCACATTTTACTGTTATAGGAGTGAGATATTGGATTCTCAGGTTGGCTTCTACAGAGTCCAGCCTGCACCAGTACTGGCACTACAGGAAAGACTCACCACAGGAAGCGATGTGTGTGACAAAAGGGGGTGTCATGTATAGCAAGTGGGTAGTACCAGCATAAATATTTACCTTTGGATCCCACTGAACCTGCAGACTGTTGAGTGGTGGACGAAGATGAAGAGACTCCCAAGGACCTTTAACATAGAGAAACTCATTAGTACCATTATCTTGGGGGATTCATCTAATTTTCTTAGAGTATATTCCTTTGTCTTACCCTCCTCCCTCTAGTAGGATGCGATATTGCTCAATCTCCTTCTCCAGTCTGGTTTTGATATCCAGAAGTTGTTTGTACTCATCACTCTGGCGTTCCATGTCAAATCTGAGCTGAGACAATTGTTCTTCTACCCCGGCAATAATCTCCTGTATTTTTGCAATCTGAGCGCAGTATCGACCCTCTGTTTCTGCTAAGGTCTGTTCGAGGCTCTTTTTCTAAAGATTGATAGTCACATTAAAAAGTTTAAAGTTGATAGTCACATTAAAACGTTTAAAGGAATATGAAGAAAATGAATAAGGAAGACATGATGCCCATACTACGTACTAGAAATATTTGCCATTTTTCTAGAGCAGCCTTTCTCAAACTATTTAAATAGAGAAACCCTTGATATAACTTACTGGTCCCAGTAAATCCCTGTTAATAATCACTATATCTACAGCTCATGGTACATTACTGTGATGGAATTTGTGGTCAGTGGGAAGAAGCTCCCTCCTATAGATTAAAAAGGTAATTGGTGGTGGGAACTTATCTGAGAGGCAGAAAGAGCTACTTGCTCTGGGAATCCCAAGCAACCTGTAGAGCAGTGGTCTCCAGTGGTCTTTGTTTGCCTTTATTCGGCACTTGGGGCATTTTCCCCCCACTGATACATGACACTTATTCTCCAAATGACAGCAACAATGGGGCATAATTCCTGCTACTGACATCAACAATGGGGCACGATTCCCCCCACTGACACCAACAATGGGGCACAATTCCTCCTACTGACACCAATGATGGGACACTATTTCTCCCATTGACACCAACAATGGGGCACAATTCCTCCTACTGACACCAATGATGGGACACTATTTCTCCCACTGACACCAACAATAGGGCACTATTCCTCCCACTGACACCAATGATGGGGCGCTATTTCTCCCACTGACATCAAGGGCAGGGTGCTATTCCTTTCCCTAATACCAAATATACATTCTTTACTCCAAATGACAGTCCAGCCCCCCTGAAGTCTGAAGGACAGGAAATTGGACATTTGTTTAGAAAGTTAGCAGACCCCTGCTGTACTGTAGGGAGGAACCCTGGTTGAGAAAGGCTGCCCTGGAGGAAATTATAACATTTAACGTTTTGGATATTATAGACAAACTTGACACTGAGTTGTCTATAATAATCAAATGTACCAAAAGTAAACAAGTCTTTACTAATGTGTTAAAAATTAAAGTTACGATTTTATATAGGTTGACTACACAAGCCAACCTCCTATCATGCTAAATAGTTCAAGTATCACAACCACACAAGGTGGATAGAGGTTGGAGCCTGAAAGAAATTGTTTGCTAAAACAGCAATTCTAGAACTGATGAGAAGAACAGGACAAAGTGCCTCCATGCTTTGCTAGCAGTAAAGTTCTAGGTGAATGGAACCAGAATAAGGGGACTGTGATTATACTGTACAACGTTCCACCAATACACCAATAATAAACTGTACGGGAGCAGCAATGATACTAACTTTGAGCACTGGTATGAGCACAAGTATGTGTTACTGGCCAAAATATTGGGGTTTACTTGCTAAAGGCAAATGGACTGTTTATTGTACAAAGGAAATTACACCAGAGCTTAGTAAGGTGGAACTCTGCTAACAAACATCATCCAATTCGTGTGCTAGAAAAAATACTGTTTTAAATGTCCTTGTTTCTGGTTGGGTATTCTAGAAAATAGGACAGACGGATTATTGATAGGTTTGGCTTTCCTCCTTCCATAGACAATGTTTTATTCAAATAACCTTTAGTATGGCTTCTGTAAATGGAGTTGCTGGGTGGAAAGGGTAGCAAAGTTGAGTTCTCTTGATGATGATGTGATAGTCCCTTAGTTGTGTCAACCCCACTGTACCTGAATATTACTGTGGTGGGAGTGGGGCATGGTCAGAGGAGGATTTCAACTAAAAGAAGAGGAATCAGCTCAAGGGACAGATTCTACTGACTGCAAGTTATGTCCCGTGTGTTGATGTTCCTGTTTTTTTTTTTTTGTCTGCTCTTAGGCTTTAATGCAGTTTTGTAAAATATGTATTATTTGATGCAGCTGGTTTACCTACCTAAATACCTAAAACTGATTTAATTTTAGTCTTTCGTACAGCATCAATGTGAGAAGGAGGGACAGCACTTCAGGCTAATTATATGCTTGAACAAATGCTCAAAAGGAATATGCTAATAGGATCAAAGAGCAGAAAGATGACCTTATCAACTCAGTTGCTGCTCCTTTACTGTCCATTCACAGACTTGGTGTGTGGGGGAGGGTGACCTAGTTGAGTAGCAAGACTGCAGTAGAGAAAAGTCAGGTCACTAGGCTGACACCTACATGTCTTGACAGTTTTTAAGCACATAGGGAACAAATATTATTGTAAAAAGATTTAAGAAAGCCTAACTTAAGTCAAACTTACACCCAGGTCCTAAAGCTGAGTCTTACCATTGCAAGCTGGGACTGTAGCTCTATCTCCAAGCCTTGAAGTGTTCTCCTTAAGTCGCTAATCTCTGTACTCTTGGTCTGAACCTCTGCTACCCCAGCTGTGATCTCTTTCTTCAGCTCATTGCTCTAAAACAGGAAAACAGCAAACAGCATGTCAACTCTGACTTTAAAAATGTGTAATTTATGAGTACACGGCCTTTAGGCTCACCATTTTATCATTTATACTGTATAAGCTAATATATGAATCATCTAGGAGCATATTTATAACGCATCTGATATTTCATCAATCATGCTCTGATTTAGTGGTTCAATTATTCATATATACTGTATATTAGAACACATCACTGGGAATATTTAAGTGGTGAATGTTTGGTGAATGTCACATTCACCAAGTTATAAATATCTCTTATTGTCAATCTGTACCATTCCATAATTGTAAACTTTCTTTTTGTCTAGTGACAATAAAAGCCATGAGAGAATAAACCAACTTCCCAAAATTCACCCTTATCGCCCAAACCAAAACATTGTTTTAAAAGCTGTGAATGTAGTATGGAATTACAGCTTTGGTTAGACTTTTACAGATGCCTTTGTTACCTTTAGGTAGTTTTCCTTCCACTTCTTACTGACCACAGTGGCATCAGGTCACAAAGTCAAGGGAACTGGTGGTCACTAGGATTGGAAGTCAGATGGCAATACATTTCACAAAAAGTTCCTGTTCTATGCAAAACTAAAAAAAAGGTTTTGACTGGTTTGGCTTTGTAGTGTATATAAAACGCAATACAAATACCTCAAATACTGTACCTGAGCACTTAGCACAGGAAACCCATCTCCCAACCCTTGTCCATCTAATTTTTTTTTAAAACCAGACCAACATATGGCATAAACCAGACCATATGGCATAACTACTAAACAGCCACTTTAGTAATTTTGTAAGTGGAACATCATTATCTCCACAGAGTGGATTTGGCAGATGAATTACCCCTTTCTTCTCTTCTTCTCCCTTCCTACATTACTCTCTTACCATTAATCTGCCTATTCTCCACAGTTCCCTAAATTTTGATGCTGACGCATCCCCCGTTTCTCTTCAAGAACAACTAGTGTTCGCCCTTTGCTGTGATCCAAAAAAGCTTCAGCTAGAGCATAGCTCTGGATGAAGAGGGCCATAATGTGATCTGATCTGAAAGCCTATGTGGTTCTGAGGGGCCCCCAGCCTGAGCACCCCCTTAAAGGACTGCAGGGAAAAGAAGATCAAGTGGCTGGTCAGCTTCTGGTAGTGATCAGTTGCATAATGTGCGTATTACCACAATGCATGTTACACATGTCAATGCACTGTAGTGCCATTTTCAATGTCATCCAAACGCACTAAGGATACCCACCTGTTGTGCTGTGCAGGAGGTACATGCTGTGAAGCACCCTATTCGGCTATGTTACATACTGCTGACACTTTCTGGTTGCTAAACATTCCCAGGAACTCGAAAGGCATGCACAGTCTTGAGTCTTATGCAGACTGGGAACCAAGTCTTCCTGCCTAACATCAGTAGCTGACCTCACAAATGCTCCTTTGGTTGAATTGGCTCAATTTGCCACAGACAAATTCCAAAATCTTGTGAAAAGGTTTCAGAGAAGAGTTGAGGCTGTTATAGCTACAAAGTGAAGGGGCAGGTGGGACTGCACGTAATGCCGGTAGTTTTGGAATGGGATGTCCAAGAAGCTTATTTACTGTAAATGTGATGGTCAGGTACAACAAACTTTTGGCCAGAGAGTATACCACCTTATGAGGCCAACCTGATACCAGTATAAAAGGAGCAAAAGCTGCTGACAACTGGTCAACGTCCTTGAGAAAAACTGTATAATGTGCTGGTGAAAACCCATGCTTGTTATACCTGCTGCATAAACTGAGCTTCAGCATCTCTCCTGTTCTTCTGAGCTAGGTTCTCGTACTGCTCCCTCATGTCATTCAGGACTTTGGTCAGGTCAATGCCTGGAGCTGCGTTCATTTCAACGGTGACCTGTCCAGCTTCTGTACCAGACATAGATGCCATTTCCTAGTTGGGTTAAAGAAAACAAGATTAACATGCAATAACTGTATTTTGTTTCATACTATTATACTTTTTACACTACTATGATATACTAGATAACATTGCCACACAAGCCACAGGACCTTCCGGAGCTCAGACTCCTTGAATGGACAGGTATATCAGATACATGCTTTAGGAGTATGGATGAGTGAATTATTAAAACTCTGCTTTGATTACTATTTGCCCAGTTTCCTTCTGCGATCTGATCTACTTTACTCACTTGGAGTGTTTAATGCTACTGGACCTTTTAATTAATGTTTATTTTTGTTAGGGCTTTTTTAAAAAATTATTTCATCCCTCAATGTGGCAGACAGGAGATATATACAAGTGGGCTTCCAACAATGCATATTCAAGTCTGTATATCCTCTAGTATTAGGTATAGGTTTTAAGGGGAGGGGTCAAAAATATTTTCTCCTGATTTTCATTGTTTTTAAAGTTGTACCTGGACCTCTTCACAGTGGCGTGGCACTTCAATTTCCATTTAAAAAAACAAAAAAACAAAAAAAAAAATCTTCTTCTGAGATTGTATAAGAACTTGGGATTGAAGAGTTATGTGTAACTCAGGGGCGGACTGACAACTCATGGGGCCCCCGGGCAATAGGGGATCATGGGGCCCCTGTATCCTTGCCCAAACTCAAAAAAGCCTATGAAAATGGTACCAGGAGCATCTCATGGGGCCCCCTACTGACCCCCGGGCCCTCGGGCAGTGCCCAAGTTTCCAAATGGTCAGTTCGCCCCTGGTGTAACTGAAGAGTTATGTGGAACTTACTGGCCCACCATGGGAGCCATTGGACAGTTACCTGCTCAGCAGTGCACAGTGCATAGAATGAAGTTGATTTGTAATGATTCAATCACTTGGCCCAGCTTGAATTGTGACAATTAATCTACATATAGTGTATCCTTCAGGTTGAACCTCTAGATTTCATTCGGTTTAGCAGGTGTGGCCTTATGCATGTGATCATCATGTACAGTATATGCATTTTAGTCTGCCTATTCAATACCTAGTTGCCTTAGGAGTCATTCTTATCTCATAAATCTAATAAAAGTGGACCTTCCATGCAAATGGAAGGTCTGCTTCCCTGCCAGACTCCTACCACACAAAAAAAATAATCTGTAACTAAAACAATAAAATATATATTTTGCCAGAAATTAAAAAAATATATTAACCTCAAACCCCTTACTGCTGCCTCCTGGCCACTAGAAATCCCTCAACAATACAATCCTGCAGTGATCTGGGATTCATTCTCATGGAATATTGAGTTCCTGGCTTGTCCAGGAGGCAGAAGTGATGAACGGTGACATCACCCGTGCCTTCCGGAATCAGGGGCAGAGGTGTTTTTTTATCTTTTTTTTATTAATGCTTTATTGTTATAGGTTTTTGTTGCAGCTACATTTTTTTGGGCAGGGAGCCATGGCAGGAAAGCAGACCTTCCATTCTCATTTTGAAAGTCAGCTTTAATTTAATCTAGTTTGCCCTATTTTTAACTCTATAGCAACTTAGGAAAGTAATACTGTTCAGGGAGCTTTTTTATGGAATAATTCAATGAGAGAGCATGTTGGCTGCAAAAACAAATAGTAAATGTATCTACTTTAGTCTACTAATTACATAGCAATGAAAACAGAATTCTGGTGTGTTGCATTCATGTACAGGCAGGTCTCCTGTAAAGGTTCCATTGATCAAGGAGAAACATGGACTACTTTCCTCTGTCATAGTTGGATTTTAGCCACCTACATGCACCTAACATTGAAATGTTTACATAAAGGATAATAGGTTATAAGAGCTGACTTGTACTACTTAATCCAAATCTGCACATTTCCTGATACTTTCAGGCTTGCTTGGCATTAATGCAAAGGACATTTCTACAACCCAGGACAGCCAGTATTAATGCCACTTTCAGCAAATTAAAAAGACTGGTTCACAAAAAGCTGCATCCCTAACATATCTATTGAACCATGCACGTTCGCAGTAAGTCTTGCCAACAACTTGATATGTTATGCTTGTAGGCAGGGTTTAATTCAGTGTCCCTTTAAGGGAGAACTTTTCTCAAAATTCTTCCAGAAAGTGAGGTGAGTTCACATCCTTCCTGGCAGGATCATATTGTATATAAACTTTGGATGGAGCTTAGCAGTGTTCAGAAGGCTATGTGCGTAGAGGAGCCTGGCTGTAGAAATGAATTAAGGACTTAAATTATTTCTTGCTATCCTTGGATGGGCACCTCTAAACCACGTTATGGAAGTAACTTTGCCAAACAAAGAGGACTTGATATGTTACTGGGGGGGGGGGGGATTTATTTGTTTGAACTGTTACTATTGATTACCTCAAATCAAATAAAATGGAGTTGTGTTCAGCCTCTGACTGCTTTGGAATGGTTGACGTGGTTGTCTGTTACCATTGGAGGTGGAAGTTGGGAGAGCACCCCATTGGAGCGATAGAGATAGACTGGTGAATCTCAAGGAGAAACACACGGTAGGATATAGGACAATTCTAGTGCAGACCTAGTTGAGTTGGAGCAGGTGGTGAAATGGAGATGAGGTGGGACGGTGACCCTCTAATGCAGCACGTGGCCAGTGATCTGGGTCTCAATGTCACATGAGCCCCAGGTGTTTGGCAGACTATCAGAATCCTGTAACCACTTGGAAGACATCAGGTCTGATGCAAGGAGTCAAGCCTGATGCAGATGTTGGAGGGTCATTGCTATGATAACCAAGAGTATGGTGAGTGATGGGTTTTGGACCTACCAAATGTGTACACAAGAGGAAAAAATGGAGTTCTGTGTGGGCTTTGGACTGTGAATGGCCAGTGTGTTTAGGACTTAGTGAGCCTTGTTTTGAAGTGGACCCTGTAGTGGAGTGTATAGGAAACCTTGTCATGGTTGGCCCTGCTTTCACAATCTTGCTGCTGCCTTGATTCCCAAGAGCCTGTGCATATAGAAGGGGTCTTGGGGGAATGTAAATTTGGGGGTTTGTCTATATAGCTAGGAACTGAGCTCCTGAGCGCCCCTGTAGGAATTTTACAAGCCTAGTGAATACATCACAGGGAGTAAAATAATCTCTATTGAAAAAGTAAACTACACTGCTAATGCTGGGATATGCTCTAGAAAGCATTGTCTGTGGGGATGGGGATACATTCGGGTCATACAATAAATTCTGAAATTTTTAAAAACTTTATTTCTATCTATAGTATGTTATGTATGTATGCAAATTTGCTCATTGCATATGCTGCTGTTGCTTTCTGCTTTTATCTGCAATCTCTACACCCAAAATGCTTCTGGTAGCCAGAGACCAAATTATATCAGTCTTTGGGCCACATAGGAGTTTATATTTTCAATTCAAGCTGACTGTGATACATCAATGGATGATTGGTAGATGAATAACAGTTACTGTGCCATTTAGGGGTAGCCCTAAACCTTAGCGCTTCTGAATTAGGAAGGACAATCTCCACGAATATTTTCATCTTGCCACGTTCTCTTTTCTCAAGAGAAAAGAGAGATGGAAGTTAATAACTGCATGTGCACTATGATAGTCCATGTGAGAAACTGTGGTTGTTCCTACAGATGTCTGGCTGATGTCCTCCTGTTCATTGTTGTAAGAGAAGCACATCTGGTTGTCCATGGTAAGCTTTAGTCATAGTTGACAATTTTTGTAATAATTTTTACCTCCTGATGATTCTTCTTGAGATATGACAGTTCTTCTGTTAGGGCCTCAATCTGTAATTCCAGATCAGACCTGGACAAGGTCAGTTCATCGAGGACTCTGCGCAGTCCATTGATATCAGCCTCCACGCTTTGGCGCAAAGCCAACTCATTCTCATATCTGTTGAAACATCACAATAGGTATCCTGGACTTTTACCTATGCCCATCTTGTTTGGAGCTAACCATTACATGTAAACATGTTCCGATATCTTAACAACTTACTTTAGTCTGAAGTCATCAGCTGCCAGCCTGGCATTGTCAATCTGTAAAATGATCTTGGAGTTTTCGATAGTTGCAGCAAGTATCTGAAATAGAAGATTGTACATAACTGGTACAATGTACAGTATATTACTGGTAAACATAAGAAATCATATGCATTGCTGGTAGACTACATGAAAAATAGTGAAGTCTCTTATGGATGAGGTACAAGCTCAAGTTATGGCCAAAACCAAGATTATTGACAGTGATATCAAGTCAAGACCTCAACCTACAGGGCATTAAAAGGGAATAAGGCCAAGACCATTAAAATCAACCAGGAAAATTATTAAACTCATACTTGAAAATTACTTAACGCAGAGCTGTCTCTACACAGTATGTAGGAGGGAAAGTGAGAGGGATGATCCACTAGGCACAAACATTTGTGTGTGTAAATTCAAGCATGAGCTACTGAGTACTGTAAGCAAAAGGCTTTTTCTTAGCAACGTTGGCAAAGTTGACCTAGAAAACATAAAAAGGACACAGCAATATTGATTTGAAATTTTTAACATTCTTATATTTTTGGTCCTGACCATAATAAGTAAAAGCCATAGGGAACAGAAGGTTTCAGAAATTTACTACATTTATCACTTTTATCTGGTTAGCATTAGATCTTTGGAGACCTTAGTTCCATTTTGTTCATCGACCAGACATATATAATGTGTTCCTGAGATAACCATAGATGGCTATAGATGGGCTAGATTTTTCTGGCAAAAAATTTGTGGAAAAGTTCAGCGTACACTTGTAAAATGTGCAAAAATTATCTCTGTAAACTAATAGAGAGAAAATAGTTAACTGATTTTCCAACTTACAGGCAAATTACTCTCATCATTTTTGATAATAAGCACAAATAAAAACAAATACAAGCACTTGGGAGCCAAAAATATGAATGTAAGTTACTCACTAGGGGGAGAACCATTGAGGGATTCCGGGATGGAAAAAAGATCTGGGGGTCCTAGTAGATCACAGCTCAGCAATGGCATGCAATGCCAAGAATATTGGCATGCATTTAAAAGGGTATTTACTCAAGAGAGATAACTATAATTCTATCACTTTACACGACTCTGGTCCAGCCATATCTTGAACATGCCATGCAGTTCTATAATTTATATATTTTATTAATTATAAAAAAATACATTATTTCACATAATACAACAGTGCATTTTCAATATCAAAATTCTCACAAAAAAAACTCTTTCACCCTCTCCCCTTCCCCCCCTCCACCCCTCGCTCCTCCCCCCAGGGTCACCCTAATCTTCTATAACATCCATCCATCACTTCCTACTCCTCCTCTTCAGTCTACCCCCTCATAATCCTCTCAATTCTGCATAATTCTTAGTTGTTTTTATAAGTTATCCATCTCTCCCAAGTTTTTCAAAATTTTTAAATTTTATCTTCTCCAATATGGTAAAGTTCCTCCATCCTGTATATTTATTCCACTCTGCTAATCCATGTCCTTTGCTCTGCCAACATTTTGTGATCAAACATTTAGCTGCATTTATTAAATGAAATATTACTGTGTTCTTTTATTGCTTCACTGTAAAGTCCATTTTATGAAATACACAAGCCCAAGGGTTATTTGGTATTCTAGTTCCCTTAATCTCCTGAACTTGTTAAATTATTCCTTGCCAAAACTTTTAGGGCATTCCCACTATATATGTGGCATAGTTCCTTCAAACCCACACCCCTTCCAACATAAATATGAATTCTGTGCAGGGGCAAACTGACCATTTGGAAACTCGGGCATTGCCCGAGGGCCCGGGGTCAGTAAGAGGCCCCATGACATGCCCCTGGTACCTTTTTCATAGGCTTTTTTGAGTTTGGGCAAGGACACAGGGGCCCCATGATCCCCTATTGCCCGGGGGCCCCATGAATTGTCAGTCCGCCCCTGATTCTGTGGTCATTGTTTGTGTGCTACACTAGATGTACAGTACCATCTTACTAGACATTTATAGTTCATTTCTACTATATTCAAATTTACAGCACTATGTGCCAGTCTGAATATTTTCTTTTTATCTTGCTCTTCTAATTTTGTTCAAACTCTTTTTTCCACTTCTCCAGATACGGTGGAGAGACAGATCCCGCTATATAGTAAAGATCTTATAAATTACAAGACGTTACATGTTTACGTGTTACCTCTTGACTAAAAAAATCTTTCCAGTGGGTAAATACTCTCCACCGCCCTTAACGGTTGCGGGAGAGTTGTTACAAAATGCCTCAGTTGGTGGTACCGACACTCATCTAACCTACAAAACAAATCCTTCCTATTTTTTAATTCTAAAAAAGAAAGCAATTCCCCCTTTTCAGTGATATCCTTCAAACGTGCATTTTTATCCTTTATCCACCTACCTGCAATACCCTCTTTCCCTTGGAGGAAAAAAATCTGTTTGTTCCAACGGAATTAATAATGAATTATATTCCCATCCCATTTGCTTGTGCATTCTGTTCCATTCTCTTATAACATTCCATGTTAAAGTACTTGTATTTTCTGAAAAAGTTCGATATTGTTGTGGAAGCCATACTATTTTATCTAACTGTGACCCACTTCCATATTTTCCCTTGTGTATTGTGAATCCACTCTACTATTCGTGAAATCAGCACAGAACGAGAGTATCTCCTAAAGTCCGGCACACCTAATCCCCCATACACTCTGTCTCTACATAATACTTCATAGCTAACCTTGATTTTTTATTTACCCATATAAATTTACATATCATTCAGATTATAATCTTAAAAAAGGACTTTGGCAAATATATTGGAAGCATGTGGAACCTATACAGGATCTTCGGAACTATAACCATTTTTATAATATTTATACAGCCCATCCACAAGAGTGACCCTACAGATATTTTCCTCAATTCTTCCTTTACTTCGTTTATTAATGAAATATAACTTATTTGATAAAGATTTTTCAAGGAAGGGGTAAGCTTTACTCCTAAATAAATTAATTCTCTCTCTCTTTCCATGCAAAGGGGAAGGCTTCTTGCAAGCTCAGTTTTTCTAACTTTGGAACTGTAATATTTAATATCTATGATTTTGAGGGATTGATTTTCAAGTTCGATAATTCACCGTAATATTTTACAATTTTCATTAAATTGGGTAATGTTAATCTAGGGTTCATAACATAAAACAACATATCATCTGCATAAGCCGCCACCTTATGTTCTACATTGTAGAACAATGTACAATGTTAAACATAAGGTGGTGGCTTATGCCATGCAGTTCTGGTCACCAGTTCTCAGAACGGATATGCTGGAACTAGAGTCCACAGAAGGGCAACAAAGCTAATAAGGAGCCTAGAGGACGTCAGTTATGAGGAACGACTACAAACATTAAACTTTTTCGAGGAGATGTGATAGCAATATACAAATACCTCAATGGTAGCATAGTGAGGAAACAATTACGTTTCAGGGAGCTTAATAAGGCACACGTCCACTCAATGAAATCGGAGGAAAAGTGGTTCAACCTTAAACTGTGTAGGGGGTTCTTTACTGTAGAGCAGTAAGGATGTGGAACTCCCTTTCACAATCAGTGTTGTCAGCGGGAAATGTCAATAATTAAAAAAAAAACGCTTAGATGGGCATTTTAGCGAATGCAATATACAGGGATATGAGAAATGGTACTGAAATAGACACATTCACACCTACACACACCTACACAGGCTGAACTAGAAGGACTGGTGTCTTTATTCAACTTTACCAAGTATGAAACAAATACAAAACAAAATACCTGTACATCTGTTGATTTTCAGATATAGATAATGACAGATACAAATCACATAGAAGAATACAGTATTTTATTGTTTGGTCACTTAGAATCGGTATGATAAAAAATATTAATTGAACGTTTACAAAATTTTATGAAAAATCATCTCATGTATGGATGAAAGTTGCTGATTTAAAAAGGTTCCCCAAGAACCACACATAGAGGCTGTTCAGAGTTACATAGGAGAGATGGGAGCTGTTTGACGTGTGAACCAGGCTTTAGATAAGGTGATCATAGAACTGAATACTTATTTATAGGGAACTTCCATAGACCCTCAGCATGACCTATTTCAGAGCCTTTTTGAGACTTCGCACAAATCTTGGCTGTTCTGTTGGGGATTGAATTGCACCATCCAAAGTGGAAAGAATTTAAAGCAATACTAAACCTCCCAAAAAATCTATTACAGCTTACCAAAGTTTATTAGTCCGTGGCTAAATGGTTAGCACTTCTGCCTGGTAGTACTAGGGGCATTGGTTCAAATCCCAGCGATGGCACCACCTGCCTGGAGTTTGCATGTTCTCCCTGTGACTGTGTGAGTTCCCTCCCACACTCCAAAGACATGCTGGTAGGTTAATTGGATCCTGTCTAAATTGGCCCTAGTATGTGTATGTATGAATGTGAGTTAGGGACCTTAGATTGTACACCCCTTGAGGGTTAGGGACTGATATGAATGTACAATATATAGGTAAAGCGCTGTGCAAATTGACAGCGCTATATATGTACCTGAAATAAATAAATAAATAAATTAGTCAAGTCCTTCTAAATCTGCTAGCACATCTAATGTTAACCTCTCCCCAGATTAACAATGCTCCTCTGTCCAGAATGGAGACACCCTAAGACAGGATGTGTGTTACTGGTCAGATCACCAGATGGAAAAAAAAAAGGAAAACAATGTCTAAAAAACAAAAACTAATGCAGCCATGACATTTAAAGATCGGTAAGCTGAAATATATTAAAGCTCTGTTTTTGGGTTTAATATTGCTTTATCTCTCTCCTAGAGAAGCTAACATTTGGCAATTTTATTGAAAGCTGAACTCCAGGCAAATAGATAAATAATACATATTTGGAATCAAGGGCGGACTGACAACTCATGGGGCCCCCGGGCAATAGGGGATCATGGGGCCCCTGTGTCCTTGCCCAAACTCAAAAAAGCCTATGAAAAAGGTACTAGGGGCATCTCATGGGGCCCCCTACTGACCCCGGGCCCTCGGGCAGTGCCCGAGTTTCCAAATGGTCAGTCTGCCCCTGTTTGGAATCTCTTTTACCTGCCATAAGATTTGTGTTTTTACCTGCCATAAGATTTGTGTTTTTACCTGCCATAAGATTTGTGTTTTTCCCAACCAATCCTGAGATTTACATTGCTTCACCAGAAAGCAGAGTCAGAATGGTGACTCCACTAACCTCTACTGGCAGTTAGGCAATAGAGCTTGGTCCCCTACTTGCCCCCAGTGGACAATGAAAAAGTAACGGAATATTATCATGTCATTCCTTTGCAACCTCCTTGTGTCAGCATGTTCATTATTAGCATGCATCTACATAGCAGCCCTAGTGCTGCCCCTCCCTCTCCCAGTCTACCTTACATGAAATAAAGGGGAATATAATTGCATTTTATTTGGGTAGTTACTTAGGCTGCAATTAAAAAAAAGAAGATTATTTAATTATTAATATATGAGATATAGTTAACTGAACCTATTTGCATTCCTAAAAATCATTTTTGCATTTTTTTAATGGTAATTTTTAATCAATTTTGCATAAAAAGAAAATATTCCACCACCCAATACAATTGACTTAGCAATAAGGACAACCAAAAAGGGTAAATTACCCTTCCATAAGGTTACAGTGTAAAGCTGAAGGAGACTTTATATTTGAATATTCATATTTGTTCTGATATGATGTTCTGTCTATGGTTCACCGATTTCAAGGAGGAGAACATGGAGGAAGTCCAAGGTCGCTATGTTTTAAGTCGGCTTCAGATTTACATGTTTCTGCTTGACCAACACTAGGGCAGAGAAAATGCTTCTCTATGTACACTTACCGGCTACTTTATTAGGTACACCTAATCAGCCAATCACATGGCAGCAACAGTGCATTTGGCATCTGGTGATGATGACTTCCTGAAGTTCAAACTGAGTATTAGAATGGGGAAGGAAGGGAATTTAGGTGACTTTGAACATGGCATGGTTTTTGGTGGCAGATGGACTTGTCTGAGTATTTCAAAAGCTGCTGATCTACTGGGATTTTCATGCACAACCATCTCTAGGGTTTACAGAGATTGGTCCAAAAAAAGAGAAAATATCCAGTGAGTGGCAGTTATGTGGACAAAACTGCTTTGCTGATGTCAGAGGTCAGAGGAGAATGGGCAGACTGGTTTGAGATGATAGAAAGGCAACAGTAATTCATGTCAATATGGACCAAAATCTCTCAGGAATGTTTATAACACCTTGTTGAATCTATGCCATGGAGGAATTAAGGCACTTCTGAAGGCAAAACAGGGGTCCAACCTGGTACTAGCAAGGTGGACCTAATAAAGTGGCCGGGGACTTTATATTGGAAATGAAGGAAGTGTTCGCTGTCAACCCCCAGTTGCATATTATAAACCATGTGAGAGCTCTTGGGTTTGAAAAGGCTACCCTTCATCTTTTTTTACAGCTGCATGAGTCACAAATTGTATTTGCACCAAGGTAATTTTGTTACTATACTGTATATACCAATGGTCGGAATACTACACCAATACATGTAAGAGTATGCAGTCATTGTGTATCAATTTATATACCACACAATCCATAACGCTTCCATAATGGGTTTGAATTTACAGCAATTCAGATGTGGCCCAGCTATGAAAAATCATATTAATAAGAAATTGCTACATGTAGAACTGCACGTGATCAAAGTTGTAAACCTTTTCAGTAATATAATTTTGTACAAGCATTAATCACTGGAGCAATGGGGGTTATTTTCTAAAACTCAATAGTGCAAAATCTGGTGCAACTCTGCATAGAAACCAATCAGCTTCCAGGTTTTATTGACAAAACCTAATTGAACAAGCTGAAATTAGAAGCTGATTGGCTACCATGCACATCTGTACCAGATTCTGAATGCACCAGTTTTAGTAAATCTACCTCAATGTGTCAAAATCCCCATTGTGCATAAGCTTCCGTGAACTTTGCATCTGCACTTTGCATAGGATATATGCCAGGAAGCCAGTCCAGGCCATTTAGACTTTCAACAGTGAATGTTTGAGAATAAATGAATAAATTGCATCTCTATATGAATTTTTGAAATTATTTCTGACCCCCTTTTTCACATATTTGGTCTGTGCAGAACAAACAACGATTTTCTTCTGTGTTTTCCAGAACTTTTTTTCCAGAAGAAGATGCATTACAAAATATGTTCTAAGTACACAATAAGGTAGGCTCTGAATGGCAGTAATTATTATCTGCCACTAAATGTTATCGATAAAAAGAGGTAAGCACATACCGTAGCTTTACATGTAATCTTTATATACAATTATACAACATGGGTAGACGTTGACTTGTCCTACCTTATTACGAAGGTCTTCAATAATATCAAAATATTTGATGTAGTCTGATGCTCCAGCACCAGTAGTGGAAGATGGACGTTGCTTTTCATACCATTCTTTGATTTTGCGCTCATACTCGGCATTACTCTCTTCTAAGGACTTGACTTTGTCCAAGTAAGTAGCTAAACGGTCGTTGAGATTCTGCATAGTCTGTTTTTCATTGGTAGCAAGTAAACCACCACCTGAACCAAATCCTCCTCCACCAAATCCCCCACCAGCTGCTCCACCATATCCTCCACCAAATCCCCCACCAGCTCCTCCACCAAATCCCCCACCAGCTCCTCCACCAAATCCTCCACCAGCTCCTCCACCAAATCCTCCCCCAGCTCCTCCACCAAATCCTCCCCCAGATCCTCCACCAAATCCTCCCCCAGATCCTCCACCAATTCCTCCACCAGACCCTCCACCAAATCCCCCACCAACTCCTCCACGAAATCCACCACCACTTAACCTGGCCTGCTGACCTGCTCCAAAGCCAAATTCACCACCTCCAAGGCCACTATCGTAATAATCACCAAAACCTTCACCGTTCATCACTAACCCTGTTCCTCCACCAAATCCCCCTCCTGAACTTGTGGTTAAATTCTGATAGAATGACATTATGAGTGCAGTGCAAAACTAAAGTTGGAGAGATGTCACTGTTAAATGGAGTAGACCACAGTACTGACAGCCCTTATATATAACGTTTAAATGGGTGTAACTTCCCGTGTTCCATTACTGGAAAAGAAAGACTATTGTGTAAGTTCGGTGGTTGGGTGCCCAGCTGGGTAATTTATTCTTCTTCAATATGTTCCAATCTGCACAAATATTTTAGCTCAGGGCTATGTTTATTAAATTCAAAGGTGAATATGGGTGGAGTGACTTTAAACTGTCATTATATTATCTTTAGGCTGCTGAAGCCTATCTAGACCTGCCTAAACAGATTATTTATGCTTTGTATTATAATGTTTGTGCTGGAAGCAGCAATATTCTTGCCAATTGATAGGTTCTGCTATCCAGGTTGTAGTTGCTCTTTTACTCACCAAGGTTGAATTTTGATATGTGCCAGAGGACAGGCACAGATCAGAAGGTGGGTGAGTTAGAAAGTATGTACTTTAAAAAAAAACAATAATCTATAAATTTTACAGCATATAATAGCTGTGTTAAGACTATACAAAAGCTGGATCTTGCAAAGGCACCTTGGTGACATAAGTGACACCACTGATGCAGACGTTTTCCCCTTCAAGTGACATCAGCAATACAGGGATCATTTTTCCTTCAAGTGGCACTACTGACGCAGGGACATTTTTTTCCTGTCAGTGACACCATGAAATGTGTTGATGGTGTATTTAAACTTTTCTTATGATCATTAACCACTTCCTGCCCAGCCAAGCAGTGTTATGCTGGGTAGACGTCATATGATGTCCTCCACTCGTGTGCCTCCTGCACACTCTAGAGGCCGCACTGTGGCTCGATCTGTCACCATCTCTGATGACAGATCGTTGAACTGGGCTGGAGCTGGTACCATGTGATCACTGTGACCAATCACAGCAATCACATGTCAGCTGTACACAATGAATGGCTTTCATTCAATGCCATTCTCTGTGGTTGGTCAGACAGAACAATTCACAGCGCATTTGTACCATGTGATGGCTGTGGCCAATCACAACTATCACAATAGCACACACTGGCAATCAATGGATGACACTCATAAAAATGATTGCTTATCACAGTGATCATCACTGGGTCGCTCTCAGGAGCTCAGTGGATTCAAGTGTGGTACCATGATAGGTTGCCACCTGTGCAATAAGTCCATCTGTGAAATTTCCTTGCTACTAAATATTCCACAGTCAATTTGTTGTGGTATTATAATAAAGAGGAAGCAACTGGGAACAACAGCAACTCAGTCACTGAATGGTAGGCTACGTAAAATGACAGATCGGGGTCAGCGCATGCTGAAGTGCGCAGAAGTTGCGGACTGTCTGCAGAGTCAATAGCTAAAGACCTCCAAACTTCATGTGGCCTTCAGATTAGCACAACAACAGTGCATAGAGAGCTTCTCTGCATAGGCTTCCATGGCCGAGCAGCTGTATCCAAACCTTACAACACCAAATGCAATGGAAAGCGACGGATGCAGTGGTGTAAAGCACGACGCCAGTAGACTCAAGTAGTGGAGAGGAGATGTGTTCTCGTGAATGACGAATCATGCTTCTCTGTCTGGCAATCTGATTGACGTGTCTGGGTTTGTCGGTTACCAGGAGAACGGTACTTGCCTGACTGCATTGTGCCAAGTTTAAAGTTTGGTGGAGGGGGGATTATGGTGTGGGGTTATTTTTCAGGGGTTAGGCTTGGCCCCTTAGTTCCAATGCAGGGAACTCTTAAGGTATCAGCATACCAAGACATTTTGGACAATTACATGCTCCCAGCTTTGTAGGAACAGTTTGGGGATGGTCCCTGCCTGTTCCAACATGACTGTGCACCAGTGCACAAAGTAAGGTCCATAAAGATATGGATGAGTGAGTTTGGGATGGAGGAACTTGACTGGCCTGCACAGAGTCCTAAATTCAACCTGATAGAACACCTTTGGGATGAATTAGAGCGAAGACTGTGAGCCAGGCTTTGCGAGGAGGAGACATGATGTAGTTGCCCAAGGGAGCTCTCCAGGTGAGTTAGATGGCCATAGAGTAAAGTTGAGAAACAATCTCCTGCGCCACAATATAAATATAGATAATTTAAGCAGCCTGTATTAAAGGTGCCACAGCCACAGCACCAAAATCATCAACTAAAGTATATAAACCAATTAATACGGCGCTATAGTAACAAACAAGCGATACAATAAGAATTAAACACATATAACTGACATCAGTGTGGGGTGAGGTGGACGACTATGAGAATATCATGCATTGAAGTGACAGGAAAAAATGGTGAATAGTGTCCTTAGTGTATCACACAGACTTCATGCAGGTGTGAGCTGCAATGTGCCAATCCTCTAAGGCTGGGGTGCCCCCTCACCTTCCTGCTCAGGCCCCCAGGGACCAAAGAGCCTTGGGTAGTAACTGAAATATTCCTCCAGATAACAGGTGGATCCCTCTGGCAGCAATAGTGTAACTCACTCCTCCTGGTTAGCCTCAGCAATAGATGGTAAGCCTCAGCAATAGTTGGTATCCGTGGTGTCTCTCCGGTAATGGCTCTCCAATAGGGTCACCAGTGAGGCAAGAGAGACTCATATAGTGTAAAACCTTTTATTTATTTTTAAAAGAAACTAAAAACCTACTTACACAGATCTTCAGACAAGCAAGCCTTTACACCACTCCAAGGGTGTACTGTATTCGGAAAACGGAGCACCAAGATGGTGCCCACGCCGGATATGACGTCAGGCCGTCGATCGTCAAAAGCTCCTCCCACTGGCGTATCTACGCGTTACGTCACTCAAGCACGTGACTTCGTGGCACATAAAAGGTTTTACACTATATGAGTCTCTCTTGCCTCACTGGTGACCGTATTGGAGAGCCATTACCGGAGAGACACCACGGATACCAACTATTGCTGAGGCTTACCATCTATTGCTGAGGCTAACCAGGAGGAGTGAGTTACACTATTGCTGCCAGAGGGATCCACCTGTTATCTGGAGGAATATTTCAGTTACTACCCAAGGCTCTTTGGTCCCTGGGGGCCTGAGCAGGAAGGTGAGGGGGCACCCCAGCCTTAGAGGATTGGCACATTGCAGCTCACACCTGCATGAAGTCTGTGTGATACACTAAGGACACTATTCACCATTTTTTCCTGTCACTTCAATGCATGATATTCTCATAGTCGTCCACCTCACCCCACACTGATGTCAGTTATATGTGTTTAATTCTTATTGTATCGCTTGTTTGTTACTATAGCGCCGTATTAATTGGTTTATATACTTTAGTAGATGGCCATAGAGTTGTAGGATGTGTGGTAGGATAAGTGAAGGACTATATAGCCAGCGGAGTTCATTTTACCCATGTCCTATTCCATGCCAGGACACGGCCATTGCTGACCTTTTTTAAAAAAATGTCTGAAGGCTTGAAAAGCTGAAATGACTGACCATAATCCCAGCATCCTTTTAACAGGTTCTTAACACCCAGGGGATTGGATGGTATTGTTGAACATGTGACCACTGTCACATCATTACTAGAGATCAGAAGCTGTGTATGACAGCTCAGTAACTATGCTGGGAGAATGCAGTGACCATGCTCTCAGCATGGAACTGTAGGCTTTGACCTGAGGAAGCAAAACTCTTCTTCTATCAAGATGTCCACCTGCACATAGAGACACCGTGCATAACAAGGCATAGTAAGTCAGTAATATGGAAAAGATCAGCTATAGGGAGATTACAGGCAATATTCCTGTAGTCTATTAGTCCTTTTCTCTGGCTACCAGTCCTTTTCCCTCTGCCTTTCTTTTTTGGGCACAGTTTACAGAGTTCAGTTCCTCTTTAAGCAGCATTTTACATACTGTTTGGCCCCCCTTAAATCTGCACCCCCAGGCAGCCACTTATTCTTTTTAAAATCCTCCACTGAATTTTAGCATCAGGCAAGCAAGACCTGGTGCTGCACTGATTCATTCAAGAACAGAAGTATCTCTCTTGGCTTGATGTTGTTAAGCAGACACATGTACCTTCCCATCTGTTGCCAACCTAATCCAGATTTCCTCTTTAGCATGCCAATCATTCCAAAAGACTTTGAAAAGTCATTGAAGTACTATACAGAAAAAGTGAAGTTAGAAATTAAATATGATTTATTTCCAATATTATGCCCAAGAGGCAATAATTTTGTGTGCTAGTTTTAATTAATGTATCTGAAACTATTATGCTTGAGGTGCTTTATTACTTCTGAATGTTAATAAGTTGCACACAATCTCTGTGCTTACTTTACACAATCGTAACAAGATCAGACAGCCTGCAGTTGCTTGCCAAATAACTTTTTAGTTAATTTCAGCATGCTTTTTAGTTGTGTCAATTGAAGAGAGTCAGATACAGATTCTCTCTAACAGCAGGAAAGCTAAGAACGTTATGGTCAATATTCATTTCAAACCAAATATCTCTATGGAATTTCATTTGTGTATTTAGTTGCAACAAAAAAAAAAAAAAAAAAAATTGCAAGTTTTCTTTTATTTTTAGGCTCCAAAACAGCAAAATGGGCACTTCTACAATTGACAGTAATGGTGGGTTGACCTACTTTTCTATATGGAAGAGTAGGTCAAGTCACCCACTGAATGGCAACCCAAAGCAATGTTACAGTAGTGGCAATGCACTCAACATAACAGTGCACCACAACCCACAATACCTGCATGGTGGTGCATTGTGTAAAAAAAAAAGGCCAGATATGAGGAGAAAATTCACTTTATGAAGAATACCCAATCATGTCATATATTAAAATGAATTGCAATAAGTCAACCCATTTTTTAGGAATTATCTGACAATACACCAGCAACTTTTTTCTGATAGTGAATTACCTTGCAGTGTGGAATGCTACAACAAGGTGCATAGTACATAGGTAATGATGTAAACACAGGTGCTATAGTGGAGTCCACTGAGGGCCACATAGGCAATGATGTAAACCTAGCACAAGCAAATTTCCTTTTGGTTATATTTTTCTGATCAATTTTTCTGAAAATGAGGAGCTGTGTCAGGCCTGAAATGCTTTGGTTTGCGATGGTATTGCGAACAATTAAAAGCACTTTGGACTCTTTCAATTTGTGGTTTGGCAGCCATTTGCATACTTTGAGCAAGTTGACAGAGGCTTTACCTTCTCCCAATTTAACTAGGAAAAGTGTGTTTTTGTTCCTGTCTGTATGTCTTGTGCTGGTGACAACATTGTTGCCAAGACAGACAATAAGAGGAAAGCTCCCCTATGAGGCCACAGAAACTTGAAAGACCAATTCTCAATCCAATAACAAAGTTTAGGCCAGAGCTGCACTTTAAGAGACGGCTGGATGATTTTCAACTAATGGCATTCACAATTACGAGGGGTGTTCAAGTCAAACTGGGACTTTTGAGTTTATATAATAAAAGAACAAATTTTATGAAGTTGAAACTGTATTTATTTTTCAATATGCTCCCCTGCTACATTTATACACTCATCCCAGTGTTTAATGCCTTTCTGGAAAGCTCCACTGAACCATCTTAGGACAGCCTGCTTCGCTTCATCATCAGTGCTGAAATGTTGACCACAGACAGGTTAGTCTCTTGCACAATTTCAAAACAGGTTATTTCAAAACAGGTTATGCATCAATTATCCAGGATCAGGCATTCCACAGGCTGAATGTTCACAGAAATGACTGCTGTGGGCTGGGAACCACCATGACCAGGATCATCATTGATGGACGTACCGCCATCTTTAAAACATTTACACCATTCAGATGTCTTACTGCGGCTGAGCGTCTCATCACCATACTGTGCTTGAAGTCTTCTCTAGATATTTGTGGGTTTTATGCCTTCGTTCACAAGAAACTTCATCACCACATGCTTTTCCATGCATGCATTAACACTGTTGTCTGCCATCTTGATTAACTGTCTCTGGACTGGCCCGCAACATGTGCGCTGGCTATAGTAATAGGACACACTGGTCACGTGTAGTACCACCACGCTAGTATCCCTTTTTATACCTGTAAAATTAAAAGTACTAGTTTGACTTGAACACCCCTTGTATAATGATCAAAAATGTATGATAAAAATTTGGCCAAGGGAATTAACCAACTGCTTTTGCATGGACAGGAATAGATTTTTACCCCTCTATGAGTTGCCTGTTGCCTGGGGATTTTTAATCCTATTCATCCACTGCAACTGGAGGTTTGAGAAATCTGAATATGACAAACTCAGTAGCTAACTATATTAAATAACATAAAAGCTGAAAAACACATTTTTGGTATGATGAAGATTTCTTGCCATTATGAAATATCATGCAATTGCCTCCCACCCACAAGTGAGTCTTTTAATGTTTCTTCACTTGTCTATATGTACTATAGTTGTAGAGAAACTTGTTACTTATTATTTTTTTATTTTTGTATTGCATCAGTCCAACAAATGTCAAGTCTAAATCAGTTGTTCAGACATTTGGAGCAGTCCATGAAAACTGGTACTGTACTACTGGCAACTTGTATTGTAAGCACAGCATAAGTGAAAGAAAAGAATGGCAAAAAGGAAAAAAAGATTGAGAAGAGGGAAGGGGACAGCATCAGTGACTTCATAAATTTTCAATAAGAGTAGTGCATAAGGGTAACAATCTAAGTAAGTCTGTGTATAGGATCCACTCAAATGACAAGTTCCACTGGGTTCTAATGCACCCGTTACCTAATATTTTTGCAGTTGGTGTTACTTGCATTTATTTTTTACTTAAGTAAATACATTTCTGGATCGCATGCATCCCTATCAAATACAGGGCACTGGGATCCTAATACTGTCAGTTGGACATATTCGCCACTAGTGCAAAATTAGGTTGCTTGACACCCAGTTCAGCTTCTTGAAACAAAAGTGATAATACTTCTTTCATTTGAAACGGGAAATCTGATTAATTATACATTTTGGACTTTCTTAATAATATATAGTATACAGACAGCCCCAGGTTACGAACAAGATAGGTTCTGCAGGTTTGTTCTTAAGTTGAATTTGTACTTGGAACAGGTAAATTTTGCAAGTGTATCTCCAGCCAAAAAAATTATTTTTCGGTTTTGAATAGCATAAGGAAGGGTTGTGAGATTGCTGGCAGGTCCGCAAGACAGTAGTTGGCAGCATGTGGTGAGAAGCAAGATCATCACCCAGCAGTTTCCAGGATCGGCATGACATCACGCTGCCTCTGTAAAAGAAATAGTCTTAGAATTTCAATACACGCAAAAAAAAAACAGCTTTCTTGAGCAAAATAAAAAAACATAGACCACAGTCCTGGTATCATCAAAACAGTATAAAGGCTCACCACCAATATAACAGTCCCATATTTGGTTTTAGGGGTTTTTGTCTGATTCAGCGCACAGGAAAAGCCACAGAAGTTCAGTAAATACAAAGTCTCAGTCTCCATATAGTCTCTCAGCTGTGAAGCACTCCACATTACCTCTTATGCACATGCTGATTCCTTCTTGCTTCATTTCAAGGCTCCATTACAGATGGATTACCCTTTTTGCAACCAAACTCCCTTTATTCAGGGTTTATTATTATTATTATACAGCATTTATAAAGCGCCAATAGTTCGCTCCGCGCTGTATATTACAAAGGGGGACAGAACACGTGACAGAACAATACCATTACAATGCAGAACATGAGGGGATTGAGGGCCCTGCTCTTTTGAGCTTACAATCTAGGAGGGAGGGGATGGTGGCACAGGAGGAGATAGCTGTGGGGGATGGAGTGGTAGGAAGAGTGGAGGAGGTCGGCAAGTTAGCAGGGGGTGGGGTAGGCTTCCCTGAAGAGATGGGTTTTCAGTGTGCGCCTAAAGGAGAGGAGAGTAGGTGATAATCTGATGGGTTGGGGCAGGGAGTTCCAGAGGATGGGTGACACCCTGGAGAAGTCCTGGAGGGCGGGCATGGGAGGAGGAGACCAGGGAACTAGAGAGAAGGAGGTCTTGTGAGGAGCGGAGTGTGCGTGCTGGGCGGTACTTGGATATTAGGTCAGTGATGTAGTTCGGGGCAGTATGGTGGACAGCTTTGTACGTCAGCATTAGGATTTTGAATTTGATCCGTTGCGCAATTGGAAGCCAGTGGATCAAATTCAAAATCCTAACGCTGACGTACAAAGCTGTTCACCATACTGCCCCGAACTACATCACTGCCCTAATATCCAAGTACCGCCCTGCTCGCACACTCCGCTCCTCCTCCTTGGAGGCTTTTTCCCAACCCAAAGTCTCTCAGAGTCTCCAAATTCTGGGTGCCAAATGAGGACCATCAGTTGTCTCCTGTTTGACCGGACTACCATGGAACCCCTCACCCTGCATGAGATTTCCCGAGTACTAAAAATGGCTATTGAACTCTCCCTTAAAGGGACCACAGCCCAAATAGTGGGGAATTATACCTCCCCCCAAGGAATCATCTCTGGTGTTCCTATACATATCTATAAAATATAAAATCTCACACACTCAATTAAAACAGCATCATAAATCTGTGTTTGTGACAGATGGTAGTAATTTAAATTATCAATGGCAAGTGACTTTTTTCAAGTTATTAGATTATTACCTCTTGAGTCACATAACATTTAATCGGCCATCTGCAACAACTATATATAAGGGTGCCCTTAAGGGCTTCTGGTTGTGTGCGTGGGAAAGATGAAGTCCTGGGAGACTTTTTTTCAATCTGACATTGATATCAATAATCTGACATTCATATCCATAAACTAGTGTAAAATAAGAATAAGTAATCTCGCCACAGGCAATAATAAGAGGCTACCTCTTATCAGTCCACTGTCCAAAAACTAACAAGTACTTGGCTGAAATTCTAAACAGCTTCTAGTTTTGATTATGCTCTTTATTGGTATAGGGACCAACAGGGGAACAAAGCCACATAATAGGAAGTGGAGGGGTCAGGAGAGTTAATTACATCTTCATAAAGTGAATTATTGTAGCTATGTTGCTACCTCCTGAACACAGATTTTATAAATATTGTTTCTGGTATATAGACTTTAAGTTCCCTTTCACACGAAGGGTCTAATCAGGTCTTTCAGGTGGACCTGATTGGACCCTCCATTCACCCTTATTGACCAGCAGGTGTAAATGAACTTGTGTCCATATATACCCGCCTACCTCCAATCCAATCCAATCCGGTCCACTAAAAAAATGGGAGGGGATCCGTCCTCCTCCGTCTAGGTGGATTGGAGGGCAGTCGGGTATAAAACAGATAGTGGAATCTGTTTGCTTCTGGCGACCCATAGAGCACAGCAGGCTCTGTCCATATCTACTCTGCATAAACTGAGCAGACACAGACTTGTCATCTGCTCGGCTCTGCTCTGATCAGCAGGCGATCAACAAACAGATCCTCAGTTGATCTAAACAGAGTCCAACCCATGTGAAAGGGGCAAAATTGTTTTATACTCATAATGTGTATAAGGCCATGGCCACACCAATGAACTGGCAGTCTAGGTGCCCATTTGGAGGTTTGAGTCAAGGGATGGAGGACACAACCAGAGTCAGATTTTAACATAGGTGCCAAACTTTCTTTATTGTCCATTGGGGGACATGAAAACTGTAGATAATCTTAGACCAATGAGTTATGCAGAAGCTTGGGACCTGAGTTGATGAGTGGGATTCCCTTACACCTTCTGTCCTGTTTTTTTCCCCTGAGATTGACAACAGGGTATGACAGGACATGGAGTGGCACAGGCGCCTGTGGTAAGTCCTGGACAGACGGAGATCTGGATCATGCAGCATGGCAAGAAATATAGAGCAGGAACTCTTGCCAGATGTCATCATAGGAACTTGTGCACACACAACACAGAACTGCAGTCAGGCGTTGCAGAGGTTGGCAGCAAATAGGCAGCCAAGATGCAGATTCAGAAGAGAAGAGCATACATTTCTACTTTGCCTTCTATGCTGAGGAAAATGCTTTCTATATCTTTTCACATCTCTACTATGTACACTGCCCATAAAAATTAAAGGAACACTTTTTAATCAGAGTATAGCTTCAAGTCAATTAAATTCCTGGGATATTGATCTGGTCAGTTAACTGACATTTTTTCCCTACTCCTCTTTTCTGACTGGATTTCACTAGTTTTGCATTTGGCTAGGGTCAGTATCACTACTGGTAGCATGAGGCGACACCTGGACCCTACAGATGCTGCACAGGCAGTCAAACTACTCCAGGATGGCACATCAATAGGTCTGCTGTGTCTCCCAGCACAGTCTTGAGAGCATGAAGGAGATTCCAGTAGACAGGCTCAACTCTAGGAGAGCTGGACAGGGCCGTAGAAGGTTCTTAACCCATCAGCAGGACCAGTATCTGCTCCTTTGTACAAGGAGGAACAGGATGAACACTGCTAGAGCCCTACAAAATGACCTGCAGCAGGGTACTGGTGTGAATGTCTCTGACCAAACAATTAGAAACAGACTTCATGAGGGTGGCCTGAGGGCCCGACGTCCTCTAGTGGGCCCTGTGCTCACTGCCCGACACCATAGAGCTCGATTGGCATTTACCATTGAACACCAGAATTGGCAGGTCCACCACTGGTGCCCTGTGCTTTTCACAGATGAGAGCAGGTTCCCCCTGAGCACATGTGACAGACGTGAAAGGGTCTGGAGAGGACGTGGAGAACGTTTATGTTCCCCGGTCATGGTTCAGCATGACCGTTTTGGTGGTGGGTCAGTGATGGTCTGGGGAGGAATATCCATGGAGGAATGCTAAATTTTGGTTTATCTATTGCTTTCTATCTCTCTTACTTTACAATATGAAGGCAAAATAAAAGAGCACTCCTGACAATATCTTGAGTTTAAATTAGCAATTGTTAAAATATGTAATCAACAACTAGGCAATAGTGATGATAACTGGGCAACAAACAGGAAATTCTGACAATATGACATCAAATGAGCA